GTTCAGTTCAATCGTCAAATAAAAGTTATGCCACATATTAAAAGACAGATCGCTTTAACGAGCTGTAAATATTAGATCCAAATAATAAAATTAGATTTAAAAAATAAAAGAACACGGGGACTCGTAGAAGACCCTTTGGTTTTGTCATTGAGAATCGCTACCATAAATGTGATAATTTGCTATTGTTATGCACTATATATACATAAAAAAAAAATTGCATAAAATTTCGGTATATAGGGTCGTTTCTATACTTACCGTGAGTTTAACAAAAGTTATTATAATATGTTAGATTACTCAAAAAGTAGCAATTTATTAGAAATGAATTTTTGCAGCCATCAATGTAGTACTATAAGAGTTAGTTTAAAATTATTCTCACTCTGAAATTTAAATTAATAATGTACTTATTTTGATCAAATTTTAAAGCGCAGTTTTCCATACTTATCGTAAGTGTTTCACACTTATCTTATATACGCTAGCGGTTTCAAATGAAAATTTAATGCATTTGTAACATTTTATTAAACGTTTTTAGGTATATAGATTTAAAAAAAAGATTATTAAATAAACATTAATTATATAGTAATGAAAATATTATTTTGAATTAAAACTAAAGATTTTTAAAGCATTTCTATTACTTTAGTACAAATCTTTTAAAATGGAAAGGATAGAATTTCATCATAATTATCTGTGTCTTATATTATAATTATTGTTAACAATGGAACTCGTTTTCTGACTTAGTTTCAAGGCTTACTTTTTTTTTTGCGACTTTCTTTTTCTTTTTCAAAATTTTCATGCTTTCTCTTTCTTTTTTAGTTTTTTCATTTAATAACTTTTTCTCCATAGCCATTTGTTTCTTTCTTAATCTTTCTTCCTCTATTTTTGACTTTTTATCTGTAGCTAATTGTCTCTTTTTTAATTTTTTATTATTTAATTGTGACTTTTTTTGCAATTTTGTCTTTTGAAATTGCTAACACGTTTTAAATGTTACAACAGATGGTAAACGTTTTATTTTGCGCTTGGACGTTTGGACTGGTTGTTTGGCCATATTAAAACACTTTTAATTGGATTTATGATTTCTGCTGCTATTTTTAAACTAGAACAAGCTGGTTTTGGTTCTATTACCGCTGCAATATTGCAATCAGGCATTTCCATACCGGTTTTAACTTGCACATTTTCTAAATAACAAGTTGTTCATAGATTTTTATTACCCTGTTGTATTTCATCAGGTAAAATTGTGGTCTTATATGTTTCAGATGAGGCTCTTTTCCAAAAGCTGGAGTTATTCAAGATCACCTTTCTAATCTAAATATACGTCAGGGTTAGGGTTAGGTTAGGGTTTTAGCCTAATGATTAAAAGACCTATTTTAAAATATTTTTAAGTAACTGCAGCAGTAACTTTAATGAGTAAGTAACTTTAAACAAGTCTCTTAAGTTAAACTTCTAAAACGTGTCAATATTAAATCCAAGATAAGAGCTAGACAATCTTGTGTTAAGTCTATGAAGAAGATTATAAGTGTTTAAAATATTTGCTGCACTGTTATGTACAGTATGTATAATATATTTGCGACAACTTTAAAAATCTTGAATAACGGCTTTGATAAACATATTATAATTTTTACTAGTACGACTTTCTAAAAACCAACATTTAAGAGTAAATATTTTAAAATCCCATTTATTATTAATAATGGAACACTTTAGCCTAATTCAATTCGTTTTGTAAAAGAGCTGTAAATATTGGATCTAAAAAATATAATGAGATTCAAAAAATAAAAGAACGCGGGGACTCGTAGAAGACCGTTTGGTCTTGTCGTTGAGAACCGCTAACATAAATGTGATGATTTGCTATTGTTATATACTATATATATATAAAAAAAAATTGCATAAAAGTTTGGTGTATATATAAACTTTTAAAAGTTTTTTGATTAATAGAAGGTAAAAATTTATATTTATTTAAACTTCCACTTTTATCAAAAGCTATCCAATGATATTGCTTTAAAACGTCATAAACAATTAAAGCATTGTAAATAAAAAAATTGAAGTTTAAAAAATTCGTAGACTATTAAAAATCAGTTTATTGTTATTTTTTTGTTGTGCTTTTTGAACGACTAATAATAAAATATTTGTTAGATTTATTGCATTAATTTTGTATTGTTAAGTTTGTTAATGTTGTTTTGTAAAATGTGTCAAGAGCTCTTTTTTTTTTCAATTGAATAATAGATAAGAATACTTATAAAAATGTAATCTCGAATCATTATTTAAATTTTTTTTTTATAACATGAATCAAAAAGATATTTTTAAAGAGTAACGTTAATCTGACGGAAGTTTTCTGATATCTATAACCGAACGCCCCTCCCAAAAGGCTATCTTTTAGGTTTTAACTTATTTTACCCAGAAAAGAATGTTTTAAAGGTAGTTTAAATTTTAGAAATATTTTAAAACACATAAAAAAACAACAATAATAATGATATAATCGAAAATTTTAGAATAAACTAAAATTTAATTTGGCTATCTCAGGAGTAGACTTCTGCGTTTCTTACGCATGACTCCGACCAATCCCGCACTTACGCGGCCTTTGCGGTTTTCCGAGCTGCGTAATTTTTTATTGAAACCGATATTAACGTTGCAAATCATTTTGCGGAAGCAAAACGATTTGCAACGCTAATCTCGGTCTAAGGCTGGTTTACTGCGGTTTTACACGGAATTTTATTGCGGAATTCTAAAGATCATTTTTTTTTTAAATTTGCAATCTGCAGTAATGTGATGAAAAAAATTTAACCATTTAAACTGTCAGCAAACTAATTAGGAAGTCATACAATCTGCAGTAACTGCAGATTGTATGACTTGTATATGGAAGCCGAGAAAGCTCATCAAACAAATACCTTTTAAATCGAGAAATATATATTTTAAATCCAGAAATACATTCTAAATCGCAAGATATATTTTAAATCCAATAATGTATATTATAAATCCCAAAATATATTTTAAATCCAGAAATGTATTTTTTTAATTGCAAAATATATTTTAAATCCAACAATGTATATTTTAAATTGCAAAATATATTTTAAATTTAGAAATATATTTTAAATCTTAATATATATTATAAATTCGCAAATGTATATTTTAAATCTCAAAATATATTTTACATCCAGAAATGTATGTGTACAATCGCGAAATATTGTTTAAATCTAGAAATATATTTCAAATTGGAAAATATATTTTAAATACAGAAATATTTTTCGAATCGCAGAGTTTGTTTAAAATCTAGAAATATTATCGCGATATTTTGATATTGTCAAATCTTAAAATTTTTAAAGACGGCGTCATAATGTGCCTCATGTGGAGCTAATCTTAATCTTAGGACAAATTCTGTGGAAATAAGAAAAAGATTAAAGAAGAAGTGGAAGTAAATAATCGCATAAATGAAAAACTTGCTCTTAGCGAATTTCAAAATCATGAAACTGTCGAAAGGACATCTAGATTTAAAAAAAAATCTTTTGCAACAATTATTTCGAAGGACTATCTGAAAAAAAAAACGTTCTATTGAGAATGTTACGATAAATGTTTGTATTATGAAAGAAAATGGTAAATATGAAATTAACAATATAAGAGGAAGTAAATTGTCTATATATGTCCCAAGGCGAGGTAATGCAAAGGCGGTTTTTGAAATAGCTTGTAGAAAACATGCAGATCATAACCAATTTTTCGACTGTAACGATAACTAGGTACTACTATATCCTGATAAAAAAAAGCTGAGTATGTTACAGGCACTAATTCTTTATTTACAGTTGAAAAGTATAAAGAAAGTTTAAACAAACCATTTTCAAAGATTTATATTTATGTAAGCAAGGTATTTTAAATCAAGAAAATAAAAAAAATCAACGATTTAAATAATGACGTTGATTTTTTTTATTTTCTTGACACGTCTATTTTGGATTTAGATAACGTCTGTTTTCAATTTCACAATGAAGATTTTAACAATAACACTTTGTCAAATAATTATCTTGAAAATGAAAATTTTCCAGAAAAAGTATCTATTGTAAACAATCATTAATTTTCTTATTTTTGGTGTTGTTGACAATAAATCTGTAAAAACTCTTAAAGATATTTCTTTACAACAAACAGCCAGTCAATCAAGTTTAGGGGTCAGCTGTGGTCTTTGTTCTATATGTAATCAAATGTTTCCTTTTTCTGTGCTTGAACAACATGCAGATAACTGTTTAAAAAATTAAAAAAAGCAAATGGTATATTTGATTGTTTCTGATGACTCAATTTACTTAAGTAATAGTTGTGAAAAAGAACAATATTTTGACAACCTGAAAGTATAAATGATCTTAAAAAAAAGATTCCAGTTTTAATAAAACAGTTTAGTGATATACAAGATGGCAATGTCAGGATAAATATTTGCCGTCAATTTGAATTTGAAGACTTCCACAAGATTTTTAGTAAAAGTTGAAACAAGAATAAAATCAATCAATTATACAAGTTTTCATTTGTTGAAGAGCCTGCAGTTGATAAAGGTGGAGTGTCTAGAGAATTTTATTCAGGTTAGATTTATATGTATATTTATTAATAAGGTCAAAATATTATGAGGCTAAGGTCAAATTTTACTTGACAACCAACTAGGACCTGACCAAGTAGATATTTTTTCTGTTAAAAGTTGAGGATTAACAACTCTGTTTTTATGTATCAACAGTGTTGCCAATTTGTTGATTTAAAAAATTTTCAATTAGTTTATTTTTTACATCTAATCATTTTATCTTGAGGTAATTTTTTGGAAAAAGAAACACTATTTTGTTTTCTAAAACTCTAAATTTAAAATAAAAGAACAGTTTAACAATTATGAGCTGCAATTAGTTTGTTTCAGATAATACACTAGGTGCTTCCTTCTAATATTATATAAATAACTTTTTTATGTAATATCAATAACTATCATATAAATATACTGCATATAATAAAATATTGATGTTGTAGGTCAACCAGCTTAAATTAAATTAATGCATCTAGTAGTATAGTTGTTTTTCATTACAAGATTAACTTTTTTGCTTTTCGAAGCTTTAAAATCAATTAAAATTAAGCACTTTACTGGCAATGATTTGGTGGGCTGTGTACCATCGTGTGGTAATCTTAGTATTGCAGATGGCACAGTAAAAACTATAGGCCGTCTGTTTGCAGCATCTATTGTGAATGGTGGTTCTATACCTTTTTTTTTGTTCCTTTGGGTTTATGAACTTATGACGAATGGCATATCAGCTGCAGTAAGGTGTTGTCCGAAGGCTCTAGAGGAATCGTCAAATTTAAAAAGTATTTTTGATAAGGTGAAATATTTCATTTTGTTTGGTATTTCTGTGACAAATAAAAGCATATATAAATTATAAATAAAGTCTAACTGATTTTAATTGTAAATAGAATACAACCATTAAATAATATATTAATTTTACATTGAATTAATATAATTCTTTTTTAGATTTTGTTTGCAACTACAGATGGCTGTTTAAGTACTCTGTTATGTACAGATGAAGGAATGGATGCCCTTGAAATTATTCGATATAGAAGTGATCCAAGAAAATTAATGATAAACATTCTCTTTTAGAGTAAGTTATTAGTTACCCTAATGATAAATCAATTAGGTTCACCAAAGATAATTTGTCATTTTGTAATCTTCTAGCATGTATTCATTTATCTTATTTTAATATAACTTCCTGGGTTCTACAAATTTTTTTTTTTTTTTCTTCATTAGGTCAATGTTAATTAAAGGTAAAGTAGAGCAATTTTTACCTGTTATTGGAGAAATTGCGATTGGTTTACGAGTGTATGGCCTGACAATTTCATTAAGAATACAACCATTAAATAATATATTAATTTTACGAGTGTAAAATTAATATATTATTTAATGGTTGTATTCTTAATGAAATTGTCAAAAAAAATTCAAATATAATGCGTAATTCATTTTGTGCAAACGAAAGTTTTAAATGGAAACTCGATGATATTATACCTTTGCTAAAACCGCAAGAGAAACAAAAATCATTTAAAATTTCTACATGCAAAGCTTTTCTTAATGTTGTTGAGTATAGTTTCAATACTGGTATTGCCATTTTTTACTGTTAAATTTATTATAAAACTCTTAAATACAAATTAGTAGAAAATATGTTAAAATATGTAGAAAATTTGTAGAAAATATGTATAAGTTTTTATTATCTAGAACTGGCGGATCCTTCATCAAATGATATTTTGTAGTTTTTGACTGGCTCGCCGTCTATTCCCGCATTAGGGCTTCCAAAAATATTACTATAGTTTTTGTTCATGGATGTCCGTATCAAAAAATGGAAAAAAAATGCAAATGTTTACCGATAATTAGCACTTGCGACATACAGTTAAATCTGCCAGTTCATATAAATACGGAAAACGATATGAAAGAAACATTTTTATTAGCTGTAAAAAACGGTTACCATTTTGGACTTATTAAATGCGTGGAGACATTGCTTATTTTATATATATATATATATATATATATATATATATATATATATATATATATATATATATATATATATATATATATATATATATATATATATATATATATATATATATATATATATATATATATTTATACAATATTTGTATAGCTTGTTAGCGTAAATTAATATATTTATAGCTAAAAGCAAAAAATATATATTGCTTGATAAATAGTTTTTTATAAATTGTTCTTGCTTCATTCCAGTTTTTCGGCGGCATTTTTAGTCTTTTTTCGTTTATCTTTAAAGTAGTTAGTGAGTTGCAAGTCGCACTTATTCAAAATTTCATAGGCTTCAGCGTACCAGAACCAGAAAGAATGTCGTCGTTAATATTTACTCCACATTGCTGATAGCCATAGAGCTCGGGTAAATAAAACATATCGTCTGGTATTCCGTGGACATTCGCATGTCGGGATTTTCTAATAGTATGGGAATTCCATTTCTCCTTCATTTTATTAAGCTTAAATTGTATTAATTCAGAGTAACTAAACCAAATGCATTCCAATGCATTTGGTTTAGTTACTCTGAATTAATACAATTTAATACATTGGAATCAATACCCAAGTCTTAAATAATCATTAAAGACCATTCTTTTAAAATATTTAATAAAAGATGTTGTATATGTCCTTTTAAAGTTCGACCACAAGTTTTCTATTCTTCGGTTAGACTGCGAGCTACCGTACTTGTGTATCATTATGTACAAAAGAGTGTATTGCTGCAATAATACCATTTTCTGTGCCGCAATCAGTTCTTAGAGTATCTGAACCCACTTTTAATTGTTTAAATGCATTAAGGTAAAAATGAGCTGGAATAATTGGGTCATTATTTGCACGGTAAAGTTTTAACTAAATTATTTTACGAGAAAACCCATATATGTATCCATGAATAGGGAAACCATACGGTTTTAATTTATCGTAGCCATCAACATGCCACACAAAATTTGGACCTGTGGAACTATAAACTCTTCGTTTTAGTTTGCAATGTTTTCTATTTTCGGATTGCTCAGGGTTAATTTGTCTGAAAAGCTTCATGAAATCATCTCTGTTGACGGAGATACCGTAACGTATGCGTAATGTGTGCCATATACTGCGGTAACATTTAATTCCGGCAAAAGTTTGCACCTCTGCTTTTATTATGCGATGGATCGAAGTGTTTTCAATTAATCTGTTTTTTCTTTTCAAACCCATTGTATTCAAATAACGTTTTAATGTACTAACACTAATTTGAAAATCATGGTAGCGACTTAACAGTAAAACAATTTTTTAATATTGCATTCCTTTGTGAAAGTAATGCCTAATTAATTCTTCAGTGTAGTTGTTTTGAATTAATGTCTCTTCTTCTAAACGTCCCCTTCGTTCCCCGCATGAGGACAAAAAAACTAAGTATTAAATAAATATTTGCTTCCCCAACAACAAAAAAAGTTAACAAGCATTTTACCATTTGATTGTTTCTAATTATTTACTTAATTAAACTGTTTTTTGTTTGTTTGTTTAATAATATTATTTTTTTCTGTTAATTTTTTAGGTGCCCCTAGAAGTCCTTGCGGTCTTATCACAGAGCACCGCGGAAGAGCATTTAATAGGAAGTTCGCGCCTCCTTCTCAACCTTACGCCTCTGAAGCAAGTGCGCTACCACTGCGCCACGGCTGCTCAATTATCAGCTAAATATTATCAGCTTTTTGTTTTTCAAAGTATTACATGAAAGTATTATATTCAAAATAGATATTTCGGATTTAAAATTTATTTCTCGATTTAAAATTCATTTCTGGTTTCAAAATTTATATCTGGAATTAAAATATATTTCTGGGTTTAAAATTTATTTTTAGATTTAAAAATAAATTTTAAATTTATTTTTAAATCTAAAAATATTTTTTTTTTCCTGCAGGAAAAACTTGAACATTCATAACATTCATAATAGACTTGGTTATGTATTTTGTATGTTTTACAAAATGTAATGAAACCGTTTAAAACAGACTAAACTCGACCTAAGCCGCGATTAACCGCAGTGGTCGTAAACTTAAAAGAAAAATTTGCAGAAAACCGCAAGAGGTCGTAAATATTTTGCAAGAATATGCGGTAACACGGTTGTCGGAATTTTTCCTCCTTACGCAGATGCCTACTCAGGAGACCAAAGTGTGATATAATCGTGTAAATTATTAATAATACAATCGTTTTTATTTATACAATTGTCTCTATAACTTGCTTAGAGATAAAACACCTTGAGTTGAAACCAGTATGACCAAAGTTATGTTTTAAGCAGTCGTTAACAAACTTTCTTTTATTTCAGTTCTTGCTTATAACATTTTTCGGCAAGATGTTAAAATTTTTTTTTTGTAGAGCTTGATTATTTAAGATGTCGGTCAATTTTTTGGAGATAGGTTCCTTTAACTGGTTAATTGGTTTTATTATAAAGAGTATGCTGTTTCATATTCTGCGAAATTGCTATTTAAGGCTATTTTTTTAAATTAAATTATCTTCAAATTTCTCTTAAAATGCGTCCTAATTTTTTTCTAATCATGTTTGACACATCATAAATTTGGATCGGAAATGCTGTTTTTATTCGTTAACATTTTTAAATTCAGTATGAAATCGAAGATTGTTGTACAATTTTATATTTGCTTCACGTTATGACTCCTCTTAAAGTAAGCTAACTTGAAGTTTAAGCGTGTTGCAGTTCTTGTGCATTTTTTTAGCAAACACTATACTCCGTTACAATTATTTATGCAATCACGTGTCAATATTAAATCCAAGATAAGAGCCACACAATCTAGTGTTGAGTCTATAAAGAAGATTATAGAATTTTATCATATTTGCTGCACCGTTATGTAGAGTATATAACTTAATATATTTGCAATATCTTTTTATAAACATATTATAATTTTTACTTGTACATTTTTCTAAAAACAAACATATAAAAGTAAATATTTTAAAATCCCATTTATTGTTAATAATGTAACACTTTAGCCCAGTCAAATATGTTTTTGTGCAATTGTCAGTTCAATCGTAAAATAAAAGTGATGCCACATTTTAAAAGACAGATCGCTTTAAAGAGCAGTAAATATTAGATCCAAATAATAAAATTAGATTTAAAAAATAAAAGAACACGGGGACTCGTAGAAGATCCTTGGGTTTTGTCGCCAATATAAATATGATAATTTGCTATTGTTATGCACTATAAATACAAAAAAAAAAAAAATTGCTTAAAAGTTTCGGTATATTTATAAATTTTAAAAGTTTTTTGATAAATAGAAGGTAAAAATTTATATATATTTAAACTTCCACTTTTAACAAAAGCTATCCAATGATACTGTTTTAAAACGTCACACAGTGAGGCGAATTGAGTAAAAAGCGGCAAAAAATAACAAATTTTTAAATAAATATGGATTAAGCACATATTATAGATCAAAATAGGGTTTCTTAGGGTTAAGGAATTCAAAATTGGAACTTTTTTTTTTTTAGGGATACTTTAAGCACCCGTACAGCGCGCATATACGCGTTAGAGAACTTTAACGATTGTAAAAACTCTTTATATTTTTTTTTTTTTTTTTTTTTGATGTTGATTTAGGTGCCCCAAGAAGTCCTTACGGTCTTATCACAGAGCACCGCGGAAGAGCATTTAATAGGAAGTTCACGCCTCCTTCCCAACCGATGTCGCAAAACTTGTCCAGAGGTGGAGTTTGAACCACGGATCTTACGTTTCTGAAACAAGTGCGCATTTTAATATATTATCATTAAGTTAATGCACACATTAATTTCAAATATGGATCTAATTTATTTTTGAATACTTTAAACACCCGTACAGCGCGTATATACGCGCGTATATAACACTTACGCGTTAGAGAAATATATCGACTTTAACAACATTTCAAAACTTAACTTTTATGAACCAAAATATATTATCATTAAATTAATGCACACACGAATGCATGATTATGCGCGTCATTCGTGCATGTTAGTACGCGGCAGCAAACGTAAAACTTTTAACTTGCAAAAAGTTAGTAAACAATATTATAAACACTTGTAAATATTATTAAAAACTAAATATGATATATTTTTCACACTTTAAGATATTAACAAGTCCAGTACATCTGTTGGCAATGCCTTCCCTTCATACTCCCTACCCAGCCGGCAAATAACGTTGAAATGTTCTGCGCTAGCCATAGCCTCATAGATTTTCTAAATCTATGACGTTTTTTGGTGTTGTGAAAAGAATTAATGCCCTTTTTTCTTCATCAAAAATGCAATGAAGAAATTTTCATACAATACGTACTAAATCTGGCTGTTAAAAGGTCCTGTGACACTCG